AGGGGCTACAGGAAAGCTGGGGAGGTGCGTTTCATCAGAGAAGGTAGTGACAGGAGATGGGGTAATGGTTTTAAATTGAATGAGAGTGGATTTAGGTTAGACATCAGGGCAAATTTCTTCATCATGAGGGTAGTAAAGCACTGGAATAGGTTGTACAGTTGTTTGCATCACAATATAAGAGGGACATTGAGGTGCTGGAGAGAGTGCAGAGAAGGGCAACTAGGCTCATTAGGGGTCTGGAGAACTGGCCTTATAAGGAGAGGCTGAGGCAGCTGGGGCTGTTCAACATGGAGAAGAGGAGGCTGAGGGGAGACATCATTGCCCTCTACAACTACCTGAAAGGAGGTTGTAGTGAAGCATGTGTTGGCCTCATCTCCCTGGTGACCAGCAATAGAATGAGGAAATGTGGTCAAGCTGTGCCAGGGGAGGTTCAGGCTGGTTATTAGAAAGAATTTCTTCACAGAAAAGGTGGTGAGGCATTGGAACAGGCTGCCCAGGGAGGTGGTGGAGGCATTATCCCTGGAGATGTTTAAAAAAGTGGTAGACATGAAAGGGGTTGTAGGGTGGATGGTTGGACTTGTTGATCTTGAAGGTCTTTTCCAACCTTGCTGATTCTGTGATTCTATGGATGGGTGACACAAGTAGTAAAGTTGTTGAATATCTCCCATTCTCAGACCAGGTTTTTGGTGTTGGACTCTTTGTAAATATTGTGTATACAACACTCCTCACCGTATATATGTATCTATGAACTCAGACATTTTGAGCAACTTCCTTGTTGGAAGCTCCCCTTTCCCACAGAGTTTTTTTGTTTTACTGAATCATCATTTTCTCAGAGTAGACTCTTAGGTGTAAAGGGCAGGGGAGAGTCCTGTTCAGATCTACCTATCAGTCATGGGCTTCATATCTGCATGAGGTGGCCAGAAATAACCAGAAGATAATTTTTAATTTCTCTGCCTCAAATTCTCTGCACACCAAACTGTGCCATCTGCCAGAGGCACTGAGGAGCCGAAATGTCAGTTGAAATCTTCCGAGTACAATTGTCTTGGCTATGCTGTATAAATATGTGTGTGTATTTTTCTCGTCATACTCTCCACACTGACATCTGAGAGGAAATTGGTATGGGAAGGTATAAATTAGCTCTGCTCTGAGCCTGCCACCCTTTGTGCTGAATGCCTGCATGCAGGACGATGTATTCAGCTTTATGGATGAAATTTGCCAGATCCTCAAATGCTTTTGCTCGTGAGCATATTTGAAAATCAGAGAAGGTGATGACCCTTTTAAAATAAAAATGGAATTGCTGGCAGGAAGGAAAGGTACAACTCTGTGTTCTTAACATTTAAAGAAGGTTATAAAATGTATATTGGCTGTTTTTATAATTTATAGTGAAGCTGCTGTTGCTTTTAATAAAATGAGACTTCCAGTCAGAGTTTCATGATTATGAATGTGAGCATTTTGTTATCCAGCTTGGATTTATCCTACAAATAACCATTTTCTGGCAGAACTGTGGCTATATACATAACTTAATGGGATTCTCTATCACACATAATTCTTTCTGAAGTTGTAGTGCTGGACCTATTGCTGAATACTTTGAGTCCTTGAATGTAGCTCAAGAACTGAGTTAGTGGTAACTTTCATGATTTTTAATTTAATTTCTCCTTAATTCTCAGACTTTTAAAACTTCCTGTAATTCTTTATTAGATTTACCATTTCAAGTGCTTATTTAAAAGGCACCTTAGCTGCAGAAGCAAATCAATATTTACAGTGCATTAGTGCCACAGAGAATTTGAAGCCTTGTGATTAGAGTTCATTGCTGTTTTTTCCACTCTTCAAAGAAACCACAGACTTCAAACGGTATCAGCCATCATCCTGGAATCAGTGACATTGCATCAGTCCCATGCGTACTTCATCTTGTGGTTTAATTATTAAATTCCTTTCCTTTGATTTTCCTTTTTAATATTTTAAAGTATATTCTCTTCAAATCTATAAATTCAGGTAAACCAGAAGATTGTAATCAACAATATATTGGTAGAAAAATCTGTTCAATATATCAAAACTGAGTTAGAATGGTGGTCTCTCAGTATAGAATTGGAAACAAGAAGGCAGGAGATTGTATTTACAACTTGTGCGTAATAAAGTGTGAGTAAGATTTAATTCTTGGATTAATGCCTGGAGCAGTATTGACCAATGCCAGGCAGCATACACTGGAGCTAGCTCTATGTGCATGTCCCATTCCATCAATAAAAAAAATGTTCCATTCCATCAATAAAAAAACCCCAAACATATGCTTAGGTTTCTGTTTTAACTGGGTTATACATAGATCCAACACACATGAATTATTGTCTTTTATAATTCACTTTATTTTGAAATTTGGATAGTAATACAAATCACTTTTCTTTATGTATTGAACCGTTTTCATAAGGAGAGACTAGAATTGATCACATTGTATCTCTGTATTGACAGAATACCTTTTCTTTTCCCCCTGAAGATTTGGAGAAGTGTTCAGTAAATGTCTGAAAATACCTCAATATTTAACCTTACTAAATAAAACGGGCCATATTAAAGTTGGCTCATTAGCAAATGGATTTTGTAGAGAGATTTCTTGTGTTAATATTTGGGAATTCCGTTGCATAGTTATCTTCCTGTATTGTGAAAAGTCTTTACTACTTACCATGGTGCAAACTGTCAGGTTTTCACTACAAAGCAAAAGGCAAAGCAATGATAATTGCTCGCTCCTTTCCAGAAGTGCTGACTTGAGTTCCAGTTTCTTTCTTTCTTTGTCTGTTGACAGTTTGGCTTCTCTGCTTACAGAAGTTCAACCAACTGAACTTTTGTTTTGTCAAGTAATTTGTGTGTGTAAAAATACAAGAACATTTTGCTATCGCTGTGCTTGTATATATAGATATATGAGCATAAGGAGCAACTGAACTCATGTTTGAAAATTGTAATTCTCTGTTGTAGGATGGGTAGCTAAGGCAAACAGGATAATATGCACGGGCTGCAGCTTGGAACAAATATAGATTAGTATTTTTCTTAAGTGGCACTACATACTACAAAGCCAGTCTCTTGCTCAGGCTAATCTAATAAATGAGAGTGTATGTTGAGGGCTGTGCCAGCAGCATGGACACTGCAGTTAATGGGTCTCTTCATTAGGTGCTCTGGGCCATGGCTGGGACTGCAGCTGGGCCACTTTTATTACAGAGATCTCTTGCATTTGATAGTGTACTTCTATTATGTTTGCCATCTAGGGGGAAATGAGAGACTTTACCTTCAGCTGCTTCATGAAACTTGAAGTAGTTGAAGACAAGGCAATCAAAGAAAACCTCTTCATTATGAGTACACATTGAGTAAATCGAAGTATAGTTGACTCAGACCATAAATACTTTGCTGCATAATTAAAATGATCTTTCCTGATTACTTCTATTTCTTTTATACACACATATATGTGTATACACATATGTGTATGTAGAAATATGTGTATATGTATAAAAGAAAACATTTGCTGGAAATTAACTCTTGTGAATATCTTTGTTATGAAAATGAAAAAAATAATTCAAAGGAAATTTGTGGGGAAAAAAACATAAATTAATTGTTTGTTATTCTTGTTTACCAGAATGAACATGAAGTAGAGTGACTGTTTTGGTGTAGCTCTTGTGCATAACTCAGCAGAATAAGTCCTAGTTCTCACACATTTTCTTAGAGTGTCATGACTTACTGTATTTCTCAGTGTCTTTGTAATGCCATGCAAAATAAATTTGGTTTTTTTTCCTAATTTTAATATTGTTATATGTAGCATTAATAAAAATTTATCATAAAGCTTAAGAGTAGTCATTTAATAAGCTCCTGTCATTGTATTTTCATGCTAGTATTGTGAGACGGAACTATTTCATCAAGGCTTTAAAATATAGCCCCAGTTTTCATTCTCAGCTGTCGCCCAGTGTGCCTTTCCCACTGATTCTGCTACTTAGATGCCATCCATAGTTTGCAACTTTTCCACTTTGCATTCAAGGTTCCCAGTGCAGCAGTAAAGAGAAGCACAACTGGTAAATCACATTCGCTGTGTTCTGACGCTGGGTGGGAGAGTGCTAAGAGGTCACAAATACAGGCAGTGAAACTTCTGTTTGAGCAAGGAGACAACAGATGTGTGGATCTTTCTTGTAGGATAATAAATGAAATTGGAAAAAATTAAACTGTATTTCAAAAGAAACTAACTTTAATGTGCCATCAAAGTTTCCAGAATGGATTTGACCTCTACATATACTTAAAAAAACCTATCTCTTTCCAGTCAGTCTACCTGCCTGCTGCATTGTTTATTACTAATGTAATATTCCTCTCCTGTCAGTCATTCTAGCCGGAAGGCTAAGGGAATCAGGGTAAATCAGCACAAATCTTGTTTCAGCTGTCAGGAAGAGGCAAAGGAAGAATGCAGAATAGAAAACAGTCACTTCCATAAGTTTTGAGAAAGAAATTGAGGGTATATTTTAGAAGGATGGGAGGTCACCTTTCACTGCAGAGAGGCTAGTATGCAGCTTTTTGTACTGGCAATGCCCATGCTGCAGCTGTAGCAGTGGGGTAGGGGACACATTGTCTTATTCCATCCATTACTTTATCAGCAGCCTATTCAACTTAGGCCTTTGACTACTAGCTCTTTAAAATACCTGTAAGTCCCTATGTCTCTTTAATTGTTCAAACTTATGCTGTTTTTTATTTTGCACAACAACTGAGAGATAGTAGTGTTGCTATTTGTACTTATAAAGCCACGAGCTGTGCTATGTTCAAAGAGTTTGCTTTTGCCCTCATTTTCTTCTGGCCAAGCAGCAAGGCTGTGGTTTTCAGCAAACAGACCTTGTCCTTGATGAGCTATGCTGAGGTCAATATCTCCTTACGCTGTGGAACCACATTTGGTCAAAACCACCCATCTAGAGCTTGAAAAAATATTTTTCCTATGTGAAAAACATTATAAATCTAGTCAGTGTTTATTTACTGTCTGTTTTATTCTTCAGATATGCCTCTTCATGTCCGACGTAGTAGTGACCCTGCACTGATTGGACTCTCAACCTCTGTAAGTGACACAAATTTTTCTTCAGAAGAGCCTTCACGTAAAAACCCTACAAGGTGGTCCACAACAGCAGGCTTTCTCAAGCAGAACACCCCTGGCATACCCAGTGCTCATGAAAGAAAGGTATATTTCTTTTCTTCTCTTTATTCACTAACCAACAAATGTGCACGAATCTTGAATTATGTTTTTGTCCTTCTCTTACCTGCTCCTGGTTCAAAGTTGTGTTTTCTGACCGTGTCCAGCAAACCCTATCATCAGTAGAGGAGTGTCACATGTGTGCCCTGCCCTTCAGATACTGTTGGTGATGCCCACAGCACTGGCTCTAAAAACTTGGATTTTGCCATTAACTGTAGTTAAAGCTGTGATCACTCATTACTCTACAAAGCAGGGCCTAAGTGCTGTCGTCTGTTTTCTTTGAATGCAAACAGGCCATGTCTGTAACGGTTTTTACTGATCTCCATAGAAGTCCTAATGTCAATGAATAATCTGCATGTCCACAGCTGGTCTGGTCAGTCTTTCTGACACAGCATTGCTAATTTTTACCTCCTGAGGCACCACTTGAGTAATAGAAAACACAAATTTCAAATGCTGTCTCTCCTTGATAACATTCTTAAAAGTAAAACAGTGAAATGCAAAGTGAGTATTTTTTCCTTCAGTTTTTCAGCATGATTCCAGTATCTCTACATGAATCGCATTATTAACCACAAAAGTTAAAAAAAAAAGAAAAAAGGAAGAAATACTCCCTTTTGTTTAGCCCCAACGTTGCCAGTAATTGTAATAGTAACTTGGAGACAAACTCAAAAGGAAAACGTATGTTTTCTGATAGAAAGGAGTAATTTTTTTTAGGAAGTAGCACTTTCAGTTAACATTCTAACTACAGATCACAAAATCCCATGGAAAAATATGCAGCTTTTATAATGGTTTTGTTTTCTTTTCTTTGTTATTATTAATTCTGTGTAGTATAAATGCAAACAAAGACTCTGCAGCCAGGACTCCCACACCCTAAATAAAGAAGTGTTTATGTGCTGCTAATGAACTGAACTGTCTTCAGTGGGTTTTTGGTTATTTCAAAAACACCTGTAAAAGCACAGTTCTCATTGGCATTGAGGTCCACCTTGTTACAAAGGTGTCAGTTGAACTTGGTATTGTTTGGTCTCTGCTTGATCAGGATTCCAGGTAGGTAATGATATATTTTCTGTCACTTGTACTGGTATGGCACAGAAGTGCATGTTGTTTTGAAAAATATATTTTATACTCTTCTGATTTGGAGAAGAAAAATGATAATCCAATCCATTTGAAGTGTTAACATTTTCAGTTATTTTTTTTTTTAATCATAAAGAAACTGCACTTCGTTGCTCCAGAAGCATAGATATGGTGGGCCGTACATAGCATAATCATATTTCTTCAAGTGTCTGAAGTTAGCAGAGATTGGAGTGAATTGAACAACAGCTAATCTTTCATGCTGGTTTTCTTGCATCGTTAGTTTTTTCAGCATGTACTTTTGATTTTTGTGAAAATATTTCATGGTGACCAAATTGGAAAGGAATGTGTGTGATCTCATCTCATGATGGGAAGCAAGGCACAAGAGAACATTAAATCAAGAAGATTGGAAAGAACTAATGTAGTTAGGTAGTACAATAGATGCTGATAATTTCTTTTACCTTTTTTTCACAATGCTTGAATAGAGCCGATCATCGAATGCACAGTTTTAAATAGCGAAGATGCAAGAAACAGCTGGAATTGAATAATAATTGATTGTGCAAAATATGTTATATATTAATCATGAGTTCTTTTGCACTAGATTGTTTTTTTCTGTTTCCAGCATGTTGATTTCTTCATGTAAGTCAAGATACTGTCATGAATGCTGTTTCTCTTAGGAATGGATATGAAACATTCTTCTTTCCTTTTCCAGTATTAGAAACAGTTTCATTTATGGTATTATTCTAAAAGGTCCATTTCTGAAGTCTCTGTCATCAATGACTTAGCAAAGTACTAACACTGAATTTTTACAAATACATTTTGTTTCTTTGAACTGCAGCAAGTCCTCACTACTTTTCTTACACTAGGTTGTTTTTTTCAGCTACTCAGATAACAAAAAGAAATGGCTGTGCTTTGTTCCAGTCTGTTTTGTTGATTATAGATGACAGACATTTCAAGCAAAGCAATGAGAACAATCTTAATTTTCTGCTCAGTGCATTGGGTTCGAACACCCATATATCTTTTGTGGGTCGTTGGCACTACGTAATGTTTTCACTGCAGTTCTCTCTTTTGACAGCACAAGAACATATGTTCTTGGGCTCAGATTTGCAGCACAGTTGTAGATTAGCTACTTTGCCCTAGCAGTATCTTGCAGAAACAAGAAAAGGGTTTCTGGGAGAGTTGCCAAAAGCTTCATCCACCTACTGACTCTTAAGAAGTGACATTACTTTCAACCCATCACCTTTAAAGAGAAATAATTGACAGGTAGAAACCCTGTCCAATTTTTGGAGGAATTAGCAGAGGGAGACTGCGTGTATCTGGCATAAGGGATTTGTTTCTTAGGGGCAAGTAAGAGAAGACTCCTTATTGGTGTTTGTTTCATTTTGGGTAAGAAGAATTTGGAATGGCAGGGAAATGGGCAGATGGCCAGGTTGAGATGAAATGAAGGGGAGTGCTGCCATGCACTGAAGGCTGTGAGGAGCCAGGACATATGCCAGTAGTTCTGGGAAAACAGAAAGGGAAAAGGGCATTGGGGAAGAGGGAAAATGTGAGATGTTTGAAGGATCCTGTTGAAGAAACTGTAGTCTTACTTGTAGTTACGAGGGTAGATGAAGCAGATATCAGTTTCTCCAGTGTCCTTAAGGAGAGAATGACTAGAAAAGGACAGAGTTTCATTTGGAGGGGCCTGATTAGGTCCTGCAAAGATGTGAATGTGTTGAATTTAAGATGCCTTTCTACTACAGTAAGTGGGATACTTTGGTATGAAACCCTTGCACTAAACTGAACTTGCTCTCTGCTCCATTTTTCATATCACCTCACTGTAAAGAAACATCACATATATTGTCAGGATATCACAGTACAGTTTGTGTTTCCTTAGAATTGGAAACTCAATAATTTTTGGCTTCTGTGTTGTTCACCTCTAAGAGCAACTTGAAATGGGATGTTCTGTCTTCCAAAGTATGTTTTTATTTGAAGAATTATCATTATTGTTTAGTTATAAGTTATTGTAATGTTGGTAATGGTACTCAGCTAGGTAATTCCTGACCTTGTCTTTCTGTATCCTTCCTGTGAGTGGTCTCACCCACAAAAGTAGGTCTTCTCATCTGTGCAGGTATCACAAAGTTGGTTCATGATTATCAGCAGCTTTAGTAGGTAAATTCACTTCTGAGGATTTTTTTTTAGACTGAGTATCAAAACCATATTCAGACACTTTTTTTGTGTGAGAGATGTATCTGTATTACCTGGTGACTCACAGCTTCATTTAATCCTGTCTCTTTCTTCCTTGAGACATTCTAATGAAACAAGAAGTCTCTTAGTAAAAATATTGTTTCACAGGCCTGCAGTAATACCTGATTTGAAAGCTGTAATTTTGTTTGAATGGTGTTGAACTCTACAGCTGAACAGATTGTATGCAGCTGAAGCATATCGTGTGTGCACTTTTCCATTATAGTAAAATGTTTTTTTAATACTGTTGTTTTCTGAATAACTGTTAATTTGAATAACACTCTTAATAATTCAGTACCTAAGCCTGTTGGCTGTCCTAAATAAGTGTGAGCTGCTTTAATAAAAATCACATTTTATTTTTCCTTAGATGTTTGTATTACTGTATTGGAAGAATATAAATGCCACAACCAGATTATGTTGCATCTTGTAACAACTGTGAATTAATTATCCCATATATTTTCAGTGTGGTTTTTAAAATTTGCCTCTCTGTTTTTGGTGAGGAGTTGTGTATCATTACAAATTAGTTATCTGCTTTGATCTTGCTTCTCTGAAAGGCACAAGGCTTATCTAGTTTACCTGTCTTGCTCAATGCAGGGATGTACCATGGCTAACTGGTTTATGAAAAATTTCCCACTGTGACTTTGCTGAATTTGATTCATATATTGTTATATCAGAGATAACAGTATTGGTGCAGCAGGAGGAAGTTAAAATGTGCAGGAAGAAGAAGAGCTCAAGAGAAAACAAGGGGGAAAAAAAAAAAAAAGATTGTGTGTGGGCTCCTGTGCCTCACTCACTCCAGGATTCACCCAACTGAAGCAAAGCAAATGGCATATAACCTGCTTGGTGGGGTGGATCAACAACAGCAAACACACAGCCAAATGTACTTGGCATATAATTTTAAAAATATTGTTTTGTCTTCTCTTTTTGCTTTTTCCATTTAGTCAACAGGCAAGGGTTTTTTTTAATTGTTTCTTTTTAAATGGGTGTGCCCATGTAAGTATTTTGAGGTTAAAAGTAGCCATGCCTTGTAGGAATAATTATTTTTAATGTGTCCTTTTTTCCTACTTGGAAACCTAATCTTTTTTAGGCTCTATAAACTGCAAAAGAAGAATTTGAAACCATATTGGAGCAATCTAAGTCTCATCTAGTGTCAAATCCCTTATCTGTAAAGCATTGTTTCCCACATCTCTTCCTGCAGGTATATTTGCTGTTCCTGTGGGTTAAGAGTGATAAGTACAAACTTTCAGATTGTTGGTTTGTAGGTTTTTAAAATTTATGTGAAAGATGCAATGCTTTCTAATCCTCTTTGTAAATAGAAAAAAAAAAATAAAAAATCTCTAACATGGTATGTCTAGCACACATGCATTATATGTAAAGCTTCAACAATAATGGTGTGTCAGTGCCAAAATCAGATTTAAAGTGAAAATTAATTTCATTTAGCTTTGAGTCTTTTTAAACACAGCTTCCTGAAGTTTGCTTTATCACTGTCACCAAAAACATGGTATTTCAGTAGATTTTGACTATAATTCAGTGGATTAAAGATCCCTGTATTCAAACTGTATGTGTCATTTTATAGCCAGGGAGTCTGAATTGCAGAGTGTAGATCGATTAAATTGACTAGGGAAAGGCTGTGGACAAAGAGACTGGGCATCACTCTGGGAACAGGAGACTGAAGTGTTGCTTCTGCTTCTTGGGAGCCT